AAGAATATACGTTTAAAAATCTCCGTCCTCCCTACCGCCCCCGCCCCCTCGCTTTCCGGGGAAAAATGCCGGGGCGATCTCCCCACCCATCCCCTAAAACCTCGCCCCCCCCCCTGAACGCGTTTCCGAGTATGGAAAACGCGACGAATGACGAATACGAGACGGCGGCGTTGGCGTCGCACGAAATTCTCGACATTTCGCCGGTCGCGCGGGCGTTTTACACGGAACACACGCGGTGCCGTTTACGCCGCGCGTTATTCTCGCGAACGTTCTATTTTGTTTCTTTGTTTTTTTTTTTTTTACTCCCGTTCGCATACTCGTACATTTATATCGTTGTACGTGTATATTTTTTTATAATTTCCCGAAAAATTCCTCGCGGCGAGCGAACGCGACGCGCGTGCAAAGTATACACATTATTATCAAATATAATATCATATCGTGCACCGATGCTGCGCGGCGGCACAATAAGCGGCGAAATTCTATCGGCACGGTTCCGCGTACCCGCTGTAATGTATAATATCATATGCATCACGCATACACCTATACCTCTGAAAAAGCTCAGACGTTTTCCGGTCGGAAGCGCACATATGTTATTATTTTTTTTTTTTTTTCTCTCTTTCCGCACAGACGTTTTCAATTATTATTGTTATTACTCGCGGTATACGAATTCCGTCGGCGATACAATGCAACGCGATCATTTTGAAACGGTCGAGTAGTGGGGTTTTTTTTTTTTTTCTCATTTTGGAAATCGAGTCGAGTAGGCGCTCAGCGCGAACAACAGCATAAGCGTTACGAGAAAAAAAAAACGACGACACGACACAGATAATGATCTTATTTTTGATTTCGATAGTTGGTCAATTCACTCTAATATTAAAACTGTAACAGCGCAGTGCTGCCGGACGAAAATTCGAGGTTTCAAGACGAAGACGGCACATGCGGGTATACAACGTGCTCTTAACGGCGATACATTTTTTTTTTTTTGAATTACGCCAATCTCGAGCTCTGTACACAATTTGTTTTAGCGTAAAAATAAAAGTAGTAGACAATTCGTGCAATCGTGTTTACGAGGGAGTTACCCGTTTCCGCCAATAATGTACTTTTCTCTTTTCCGCCGATTCTCGTTTCCGCTAAATCATAAAATTGATCGATTCCTTTTTCCGCCAGATAAAAAAATTTAGTCTAATATTTGAGTATTAATGGACGGTTATATCATAAGTTATTATTATTGTATTATAAAATAAATTTGTAATAATAATAATACAAATGAGTTTAAACTTATACAATAATAAAAAAAGTGATTATATTTTAGATTCTAAGTCGATCGAAGAAGCTTATTGTTCTACAAAAATGTTTATTTATTATTATTATATTTTTAATCTGTGCGCAACTTTTCTACCAGAAGACTTAATCTAACTTGCTCGGATTTCTATGTGTAGCACCTTTTATGAAAGGAAATCGACGTAGGGAGGTACCTTAGAGAGAAATTTTCTCCGGAGTTTTCTCATCAAATTTGAAAAACCGAAAAAAAAGGGGGAAAATATAAGAAATGTAGGAATTAGTTAAAATATATAACGGCCTTCTTTTTTTCGTGCATAACCTTTCTACTAGCACTTTTGCTCAAATTTTTAATGATAGCGATGTTTCTAAAAGAACATTTTTCTAGCTAGTTACTTTAGAGTGGTCATTTTTGATTTTCCCAAAAGTTTTCATAGAAAATGTAAAAACCGAGAAAAAACATGGGAAAAACGTGGAGAAATTGGGAAAATCGATACAACATTAAACAAATTGTATTAAAGAAAATATATAAAACCTATTTAATTATTTTTTGTTTTACTATAAAATGACATATATATAGTTGACAAAGCTTCACTATCAACTGAATTTCATTCAGAATCGTTTTTTTGTAAACAATGGTTTATTGTTGCTTGCAATTATCTATTACAGTGGCTGCACCCGTCCTCATTATCTTAGGAAGTCTTTTTTAATATTTTTTGTGTAAAAATTGTGGTAAGACATTTGTTATGAGTATTGACAATTATTGAAATGAAATGAGAAAAAAAAATTGTATCGAATGAAAGCGCCAAAAACGTATAGTAAAAAAGCGCCAACATTCTAGGTATTTCCAGTAGTGTGTCATTGTTAATAGTTATACGAATATACTACAGTAATAGATATTAAACGCCAAAGGTGCAAAAATGACATATCATGTGTGCCAAAATTAATATTTTATCGGTTGTTGACAACTTTAAAATTGTTTAAATACCTACTCATATAAAATATTAATTTTGGCACACATGATATGTCATTTTTGCACCTTTGGCGTTTATGTCATACAGCCAACTATTTTTAATTTGTATCCAATAAATAATAAACACAATTTTAATTATACATTAATAGAAAAACTTCATAATTTCAATTAATTTTTTTATCTAATTAATAATTGTAATGTACCTATACAATTGTCCATTAATATTCAAATATTAGATCATTTTTTTTCATTTGACGGAAAAGGAAAAGGTACGATTTTGGCGGAATCCGGCTATGCCTGTTTACGAGTACAATAGGACATTTGTCGAGTCGAATACTCGAAGAATTTTTTTCCAATCTAGAGTACTCTATTATTATTTTTATCAGGTATACTATAATATATATTCGATATTGTTGTGATGCATTCCGATGTTTCCGAGACGAAAGGACTCAATAAGCGATACTCATCAATGAGGGCTTCTCAATTCACCGTCTTGTTTGAACTACTATTTTCTGATCGGCTCGTCTTATTCGATATAATATTTTGATCATGTCTACTAAGAACATACGTATCGAATATAATAATTTATTCTACTCGTGGTCGTGCGCGATTATATAATGTGGTTATAGCGTTTACCATCCGGGCTAGTGATGCTATATCAGACGTGTCATAATACTATCATTATCGAAAAATTATAATTTAAAATATTCAATTGTACGCTAAATGAAAAAAAAAATGTCCATTAAATGGAAATAACTACACTCGAAATGTCGTAAGTGCCAATAACGTACTTAACGTTAAAGACTTGTAGTAATTATTGACAAAAATGTTTTACACAGTTTCGGTCGATTATATAGCAAATATTTAAATACAACGTCAATTGTAAATTGTATTATTAAGTTGCAACAGCAACCCATTATACATGCTATTGTACGATTGAAATTTAATGACTGAAAACAAAGACTAACACGGTTTTTTTGTTTGGCAATATTTTATAGAAAGAGAACCTCTAACACGTAAGATGCCTTCGTGAAATATTTACCTCTTTAATTTTCCCCGTCCGTGTTAAAACTCGAATATCAACCTAACTGCCACGATTAAAGTAAGTAACGTAATTTCGTTAAGCTGCCCGTTTATCGTTAGTGAGACTGAGACAAAATATATGCTGGAGTAACAGTGGCATAACCGGCAGGTTGGATTCGGACTCCCATCTTGGTCATCGACGTATAGATAAAAACGTACCTATATACATACAAAATGTTTATTTAATCTAGAATCTGATGTGGAGTAGGAATTAACGCTTTTATGGACCTCCTTCCCCCAATTCGGTTTGCACCACTGGGGACTGGGGAATAGTGCCCTCTTCGTGTAATGCATGCATAATTTAAATATTATCGATTACACGAATTCGCGAACTATGATCTCTACCCGAGTCGATTATTTATTTACCATATTTTGACATAGTCAGCTTATTATGAGGTAACACGAGAAAAGTATGTAAATAATTGATAAAATTGATAAATTAAACAATCAGATAGTTAAATTTAATTTGATAAAAGGACGGACATACTTCGCACTTGGTTGCAGCCATTGTTGTAGATGGAAATTTGGGTTGGTAAGATACAGACGGGAATTTAATGTATATCTGTAAGCAACGATTGCTAACGATTGCTGAAAACCATCGCTAACGAAAACACAATTCTGAGCGGAGTTTGTCAAAAATACATAATGAGTCATATTATTATGGTAAAATGATTACAACTATATGCGTTTCCATGAAAACATTGATTGTTTAAAAAATATTAAAATAATATAAATTTAATAATAACAAAAAATAAATAAAATCGGTTGCCAATAACAACCTTATTTTTAATCTTTCAATCTATTTTAGCCTAATGAACCAGGTTTTTCTCATTGTATCTCGAATATTAATGAAAATTTCAAAAACGACCTCTCTAATGTATCACCCGGAAAACATTTCCTTTCAGAAAAGGTGCTATACTTGATAATCGGAGTAAGCTTTCTGGTAGAAAATGTGTTCACATAAAAAAAAATAGCTTCTTTGTAAAACCAAAATATAAATAAATAATAGCAGTTATAATAATTATACTAATAATAACAGCTGTATTAATAATAATAATAGAAATCGCAGCCGTGTAGTAAATTCTTCGAGCCATTTTACTACGGCTAGTTCGCCCTCGTGTAGTTTTGTCAATCCTTCTCCAAACTTTCTACGAGGGAGGTGCTACTAAATTTCCAATTGGTATCTCCTGTGAGTAGTATGCTCTTTCGAGTATTTTACCGAAATCTATATCAAATTTATAATACTGCGAATTCATACAATGGACATACGAAACGATATAGCATCAAACCGACTCACAGTGGCCTGAATCGTAAATTAGTTTACATTAATTAATACCTCTTTTATTTTTGTTCGAAAAATTCTGCGAAAAATTAATTCTAATTATTTTGAAAACGAGGAATTTAATTTATTTTAATCAAATTCGTTATCATCCCTTTAATAAGGGTTGGAATAAGGGATGATTTTAAGTTTTAAGAAACATGCATATTTCACATCAAATATTATATGTTTTGAACGGTGCTGAGCCAAAATTGTCTATCAGTTTTGTAATCAACCCCTAATTAGGAAACCAGGGGATGATTTTTAAATTTTTTAAGTCTAACTATGTATACCATACATACATAATCATAAATAAATATAAATACATTAATATATGTATAATTTTATACTGTTTATTAATTATAACTACTAAACTACACATTAAAAAAAAAAAAAACTACTTTAATCGTCCATATTGTTATTACTACTATTACTATCATTTGCCTCGTTTATATTACAATAGTAAATAATATTACTTTGCTGTGTTTGATAATTCGTGTGATATTTTTTTTGGAAGCGGTCTCAAGGTCGATATTATCGGACCCGAAGATGTTAATAATGTATATGTAAAAGGTCTTCATTCGTATTTATTCTTGTATATTTTTTCGTATTTGATATTGTTGGTACATTCTGTAGTCTTTGTTCCCATACATTCTTAAATTTTCTCAGCTAATTGTTCTAAAAAAAAAAAAAAAATATTAAGGTAAGTTTAATTGTTTAATTTAACGTATTAAAAAATAAATATTTGCCTGAAATAAATTCAATAACTCGCGGTATATGAAATTAATTTGAAAACCACCACTCCCACACGCTAAAATGATATTAATAGAAGTCATTGTATTATATTATTATTGAAATGGATGTTTTTGTACCTACTGTTAAAACGGTTATACCAGTTTACGCAAATAAAATACATGTAATACGTTATACACCTAAGAGTAAATACAATAGCATGGATGTATTTTTGGAATGGCATAATTTGACATTTTTTATAAATATCATTTTAAATTCTAAAAATATCAAATAACGAATAAAACAAAAAAATAATAACGAACTGTATAAATTATACTAAAAACATAAAAATAATATTGTTTATTTATATTTACCAACTACGACCATTTCTATAATCAAATATTCAAAAACGAAATAAAAACGATGTACACTGTACTCAAATGATTTAACGTGAAAGACAGAATAATGCACGCTATAAGCCATTTGTCAACATTTCTCTGAACTAATCGTTGTTTTATTGGATAAAAAGACGTAAAAGGGTGCCGTATTATGAAATATTGATTCGTTACGTATCTATCACGGATATATTTGATATGAAATATTACATTTATCGCAGTTTTAAAAATATGTTTTGCCAACTAATTTACAATTCAGATCATTGCGTGACAGCCAAAGGTTCTTTGGACATTCCGGCTTCTTCAGCAAAAGTAGTCAATATAATGTTTAAAAATATCTCAACGAAAATTGGCGAAAATAAAACAATAAATACATGATGTATCACTAAATGTAAACCCATATTGCTTTTGATTAATGACATTAATCGCCCATGTACAAAGCCGAACCGTTTATGGTACACAAATCGTTATAATAAACTACCTATATTAAAACCGTGTTAGTACAATAATAATAATAATGCGCCCTAATCAATATTAATGTACGCGTGGAGTGTTCAAAGACTTGTTTTGTATAATATTTCAACACCAGCGACGCGATTTTATCATTGAAGCAGCTGCTTCAGACGCACAATAAACTAGAAGTAATATCTTGTTTTTTATTTATTATTTATTGAGACAAAAATGTATTTACAATCTGTCTTTACATGTTACGCAATAAGTAAATTGAATGTGGTTTGAATGACGGGAAGGGGAAGTTGTCTATTGGCAACATCCCGAGAAGTAATGCCTACCGAATTAGTTCGTGCGTCTTGTGAACGTATTTGTGTGTTTTAGATTTTGAGTGCAGCGAGAAATATATTGGTTTTACAATGACGTTTATTTTTTTTATTTCTGTAGACAACTTTTCTACCAGCAACTTTGCTCCGATTTACAATGATAGCACTTTTTCTGAAAGGGTCATCTGACTGGGGAGGTAATTTTTTGATTTTTCTAGGAGATTTCCAAATAAATGGGGAAAAAAAAAACGAAGGAAAAACTGGAAACTAGATACAATATTAAACAAATATTATTAAAGAAAATATATAATGCATATGTAGTTATTTTACCATAATATCACATATATATATCGTTTTTATTTATTTTTTGCTATTATTAAGTTTTTATTGTTTTAATCTTTTTTAAACAACCATTTTTGTCATGGAAACGCACATTTTTGTTTTTATTTTACCGTATTATGACATATATATTGTTGACAAAGCAACACTATCAATTGAACTCCGCTCAGAATCGTTTTTTCCTTAGCAACGGTTTACCATTGCTTAAAGATACACATTAAATTCCCGTCTATATCTTACCTTCCAAACTTCCCACGTACAACAGACAGTGGCTGCACTCACGTGCGAAATATGCCCGTCCTTTTTTATTTACGATTTAATACTATTATTTTAATATTATTATTTTTTTTTTTTTACTAATTTTACTATATATCTATAGTATAATATAATATATTTACTGTAGAATTGCTTGCCGAAATCAGAGAACTTTTTCATTTATATTTACAGTATTAGCGTTTTTTTATTTCATTGCACGAAGTACAATTCAACATTTTTAATAGGTATATGAATGAATAAACCTTATGTTTGCGAACAGTCAACTTCAATTGTATACATATACCACGAAACCAGTAAATTACAGTCTATTACTACAGATTGGCGAGAGGAGCGTGGCGTTTCGATAGCTTTGCACGTGATAACTCGAGAGGCGCGAAGACGGCACAAAAGTGTGTGTTTCGGGCACAAATGAAATTGTATACCGGAAAAGTGAGAACGAGTGGCTGTATGCGCATTGTACGTGATCCTATGGATATCCCGTATTGACACCCATGCATGACTCTTATCGCGTTCGCATAAATCGATAAATCGAACCGGTCCACCATATTATCAAAATGTCCGTTGCGTAAATTAAACCGTTATTATTTAAATCGCAAGTCTATGAACGTTGGCTACCCTTGCTCAATATTATAAAATTTACCGGGAACGATGGTTACATCTGTAGTTTATAGTATCCCCGTAACAGTCTGTAGAGCATTCGGGATATATCATTTCCGGTTGAAATACGCACGAGCAATACGCGTCTTCGTCATTAAATGAACAAGGTGTTAATTCGGCACCACTACTATTATGTCTACATAATGCATATACAACCGGTTTATAATGTTTAAATCATTTGTTTATATTTTGATATTATTTACGGCAGCTGTGCAATAGCCCAACGCTGAACATAAACATCATTTTAATTTTGTTTTTCACGAGAGATTGAAAATTTAAACGCAAGAAATTATTATAATGACGTTATCTCGTGCTCGAAGTTATTTATGTGAGTTGTAATAAAGTTTATAGGCATTAATATTGCGTTCATTAGTTATTGCTCTAATGCTTTGCTTTAATAGATTTCTACAGGAAAGCCTAGATAATAAAGAGAGTGGCCAACTCTATTCACGTTTTCTATTGGCTGGTTATTATCATTGACTATACGGGCGCTATTAATTCTAGACACGACTTTTCCGTTTTCATTGAAATACATTTTCGCGAATCGTACCATTGATATATTATTAATTACTTTTGCTCTGCTCTGTATGTCCGATTTCGACATTTAGAAGCTTATACGAATTACGAGTTTTGTTTGGGAATTGTTTTTGGACGGTTATTGGCCGCTAACACGCCAGCCGGCTACTCTGTTTATTATCTATGTATTAACCCCGTTTACCGTTTGTCGAGCGTTCGATCGGGTTCATCTATAGCAGCGTTTCTCAACCGGGGGTACGCGAGAAGGTAATAGGGGGTTCGCGGGGAAAACAATTGCATAATGGCGGAAAAAGTGAAATTTGTTGCATTTGATTGAAATTACTTTTCGTTATTCGTGAAATATTGTAAATACTGTAAAACGGTTTTTCATAACAATATACAATATAAGTGTATCATAGGTATACGTATAATAAGAAGTATAGTATATCATCGTAGGCGGCAGCAAGTGTACGCTAGATTTTATTTAATCTGATGGCGTATAGCGTTGCTAGGGGGTTGTTCGGGGGTCCGTAAAACAGTGGTGAGAAGTCAAGGCGTGTACGTGAATGAAAAACGGTCGAGAAACGCCGGTCTACAGATTCGGCGCATTAATGGTAAAATTACGTGTTCCTTTCTCTTAGAACGTATTTCCTTCAATGTTCCTCAATATTACGCACGCAGTTGTTCTGTATTCTTTGTCGAAATCCACCGTACAAATTATGGGTAAAGTAATCTCTCAGAGAGAATTTTCAGGATGGGAAATTAATCCCAATTAATCGATTTCATTCATTTGCAAGTATCCGCCGTATTTTTATGAGTTAACGGTTTTCCAAGTTCTTAAGCATCGAAGATTTTTAATTGTATTTTAACAAATATCATTGTAATTTAATGGTACAGGACGTACGTCATCTGTTGTTGAACGTGTATTCAACCCTTTACTAAAGCCTGTTCGGCGTTTATCCGTCTATTTAAATAGATATTTAACATTTAAAATGAACAAAAAATAAAATACTACCCGCGTGCAAATGTTATTGTAATATTTACTCGTGGTGACGACGGCCATAACAACTCACAACAATAATATCGGCATCTCGTACTCGCGCATCGTCGGGGGAACACCGCGGGGTTTGCGGCCGGAGGACGGTTAATATTGTCGCCGGCTACTGGATATCCGAGGAAATCCGCGCGTCGGAGTTCAAAGGCGCCGCGCTGTGTGTGCAGCAATGATACGCGCCTGCACTACGCGCCGCCACTGCGAGCGTTCCCGTGAATAGCGTAACGTGCGTGTACGCGCGCGCGCGGTATTATAATATACACCGCGGGAGGGTCGAATATTACGTACCGTTACCGTTATCGTTATTATCATTATCATTGTTGTTGTTTTATTGTCGCGTGTGCGCGAGCGTATCGACTCGGTCCGGCGGCGTTTGATGTCCGCGCCGACCCCCGCCGGCGACAGGATACCGGGCCCCGGCGACACGCTGAGAGGGAGAACGCGCGCGCGCGCGACGAAGGGCCGCGATGTCCTTCGAGACGACCGCTCCGTCGTCGCCGCCGCTATACGAAACCCCGTTCGGACGCGTTCCGTTTCAAACGGAAACCGCGGTTCGTTTCCGATACGTGAATCGCGACGACGACACGTTGCGGTGCTATACAGTGTTACGTACCAATACGCCAGCACGCACGATGGTAAATCGGCGCGAAGACGTCGCGGGTGCTAAAATTATAGAGACCCGTCACAGTCCCACAGGAACGACACCCGGACAATCCGTTTTACACGGCACTTACTCATAACAAGCGATTACACATTACATTTACAATTCTGTCTGTGAAAACGTAACGAAACTTCATTTTATGTACGCGCGCACGCGTGAAGTGGGGGGTAGAGGAAGTGGAGAGGTACTGCGGGGTTATAAACTCATTTCGATTTTAAGGGGAGCGGTAACGTTAAAGAAACGGAGAAACACTAGTTTAGATGCATCCGGACCGTTGCAATCATTTCAGTGAGAATTTATAGGCATACATTCTTTACAAGACTGTAATCGGCAAAATCGATCGTCCGCTGTTGTGTCTATTGTTAATATAATATAATACAATACTTTCGGTGTACTTATTCAAAATGAAAATCCGGCGTTTTAGTATACACAAGGTCAGTGGCGTAGGCCAGGGCTTTGAATCAAAGGAGCCGGACCAAATACGGTTTTGTTTAAATCATGGCCTTAGATGAGGAGGTTTGGGGGTTAACCCCACAAACCCTCAAATGAAAATTCGAAACGATTTTACATATCAATGTAATACTCGAAACAATAGCGTACACGTGTATATATATATATATATATATATATATATATATATATATAAAACAAAAAAAAATATGAATGTCTTTGTTTTTTTTTAACTATATTAGCCACGGTTAGCGCATCGATAGTTTATATTCTGACATTGTGGACGTATATAACTGCGTTTTCATACGGTTCAGTGAAGATAACGTTCTTTCAAGAGTGAGAGAAATAACTAGAAGTGTGTATATAGTTAACGCTCAAATCGTAAAATAGTATACCTACATACATAAACAGGGCCCACGGGGGGGCTATATTCTCCTTAGCCTCGCCGCTCTTCAACTGCGTATCTGTATACGAGTATATAACTAGGCATGGTATGTATTTGCGGGTTTACAAAAGTCCCGACGAATAGGTCGTATAAACCCATGGCCGGTGTGAAACCTATAAAAACGGTATTCGACTGTACGTTGTGCACGCGCGGCATTTCGATAGAATAATAATATCGACCGGCGTAAGAAAAGTTTAATTTCCAAATAGTATACGTAAAAGAAACCGCCGTACCTCCCCTTAAAATATATGTATTATGCCTTTGCTTATAGACGGTATACTGTAATAGTGATTATATTACGATATTATCGCACAAAGCGAGGGGATCTGTTCGCCGCCGTCTCAAATAATGTACACCTTTTACACTTATTACGCGCACACGTATCTTCTAACCTATAAAATATATCATTATTATCATTATTATTATTATCATTATTATTATTATTATTATTATTATTATTATTATATAGACGTCAATTTTGATGAAAGCTTTCGACACGTAACCGCGTTAACAAAGACAAATAATATGATGTAACGCCACCGCCGTTAACCACCGCGGTTATACGCCACCGCCGGATAAGACAATAATATCATACCCCCGCCCGGAGGTCAGGTTCTCCCTAACAATCCCACCCCTCCCCCCCCTCCTCGCACCCGCTATCGCACCGGATTCCCCGCCGAATTAAAATCCACACGCCTTACACTTATATTGTACGGCACAACTATTACACAATAAACAACGACGGCGACGTGGAAAAGGATGGGGGGGGGGCGGGAGAAAAAAATAATAATAAAAATAATCACAAAATTATTACGGGGCGGCTAAGAAAGCGTTTAGGGTGCGTTTCCGCCGCACGGACGCTATACGTGCCCGGAAAGCTTATATTTATAATATATATTATTATTCCTACCTACACGCACTGCCCGTGGTATACACGGTCGGTTTAGAGGCGCACACACAAATTGAACGCGTTTCGTTCTGGCCGTGGTGTGCAGTGTAGGCGTTGTAATAATATTATAAACGAGATGTGTGCGCCGACAAAATTATTATTAAACCGCGGCTAGAAACCCGGGGCGCCGTGACGGCGACGGCGGCGATTGTGTCGTGACCGCCGCTGTCCGATAAATGTAAATTAAAAACAAAAAAAAAAAAACAAAATTAATTTAAATTAAACTTCGCGAACGAATTAATGTTTGCCGCGCCGCGCTCTCTTGCGGACGACCGGTACGCGGTGAGGTTACGACGCCAGGTCGGGCGTATCTAGAACACCGAGATTGGCGACGGGTTGTTTTGATTATACTTGATTGTCGTTCGATTACTTAAAAATACGTCCTAGGATAATGGGGACGGGTGCAGCCGCGGTTATAGATAATTTAATGTATACCTGCGAGCAACGATAAACCGACGCTTACGAAAAAACGATTCTGAGCGGAGTTCAGTTGATAGTGATGCTTTGACAACAATATACACGTCGTTTTATTCTTTAATAGTATTCGTTTGGTGTTGTACCGATTTTCCCAGTTGTCCTACGTTTTTCCGGTTTTCCCATGTTTTATCCCGGTTTTTCCCCTTTTTTGGGAAAACTCCTGAGAAAATCGAAAAATGGCCACTTTAAAATACCTCCCTAGTAAAATTTTTGGTAGAAAAGTTGTCTACAGGAAACAAAAAAAAATAAACATCTTTGTAAAACCATAAGCTTCTTCGCTCCAATCAGAATCTGAAAACAATTGAGTGACAATTGATTTAATAAATATTTTTATCTATCGATTGTTTTGAAAACTTTCGAACGAATTAGACCATAAGTTGCACATCTAAGAGCAGAACTCAACTTTTTTTTTCATAAAAATGGCATTGTCCAGCTGAAAACCGAAATTTGACCACTGTGCGACAGTATTTAAATTTACAACATTATTCCAGATTACCGACGGTTTTTTTGCAAAATTAAAAAAAGGTCGTGAAAAATAAAGACACGTCGATTTTGATTTTGTTGATTTCAGAATCACCTCGGCGTTCTACGATTCATACTTCCTGTAACCACCCGATTATCGAGTCTCGTTTTTTAATTTAACCCTCCCCCCTCCCCCTTCACTATATATAATTCTTAGATGCGTTTATCGTTACACTATAGCACAGTTATAGCGCAACTTAGTGTAATAATATATTATTTGAGTTGATATTCTACTAACGTCAATGGCATACCTGCACATACCTACAATAATATTTTACGGCAATTGAAGTTAATACAATCTAATGAAAATATATTATGGTCGTTAAAAAAAAAAAAAAAAAAAAATGGAAAATTTATTATCTTAACATTTTTATTTTTGTTTTTTTTTTTCGTACCGTACCAAACTGTTTGTCCGACAATTACTATACAGTTAGATACTTTTTGTTTCGTTCGCCCACCTTTTTTTTTTTTATTATTTTTTACTTTGTTTCTTCGGATATTATTTTATTTTCCATTTTCAGGATGTACTGCGCCCCGGCGCATCGCGCATTGTTGTTCCGAAATTAATTATACCGTTTGTTACAAAACTCGTAAATTTTCTTTATGATTATTATTAATTAAAACTCAATAAATAATCGCGGAACGAAATCGCGGCGGCCGCTCGAATGTTGCGCACACTTCGTCCCCGGTTCCGTTTCGCCCCCGACGCGCGACGATAACGCCGACCGTGATCTATTATCGCGACGCTCGTCCAATTAATTAAAATAATGCAATATTATTAACACGGCGACAAAACGACGGGAGCGGTGGCGAAATATTCCGCAAACAATTATAACGCCAGACATACTACAGTGTCATTTACGGTTTTCGGACAGTATTTGCTGCTGGTCGCGAAAATAACGTCGTAGAACAATACTATTATTGGACCTGCTCGAGTGAGTACCCACTCGATTTTGGAACAAAAAAAAAAAAAAACGCCGGATTCGAATTCGAGTAAGTGGTCTCCTCGGCTCGGCAATTTTTTTGATGTTTTCATGAATTTACGCGTATTAAATTGCTCGGCATTCCTCGGGAACTTTTATTGATTTCGAGAAAATCAAGTTTAAATGCATTTGTATTTGATGTAATGTTAATGTTTCAAGACACTTGACGGTAAAGAGGCGTTATAAGTGTGTTAATAGTAGCTGTTGTGGACGGTCGTACTTATTTGCTTTCGATCTATTATGGCATTTTCATTTGAAGACTATTTTAGTATTGTGTGATACTATAGACCGCAGCACATGACAAACACTTATACTAATTGTTTACCGGAAGATATTAAACGGAAAATTTACCGTTCAGCTGTGCACTTAGCTCGGATTTTTTTTCAAAAATGCTAATTATACCCCTCGTGTTCTAGGCGCCTCATATTATGTCGGCGGTGGTTTGAATTTACAAAAACAGGCTGTTATTGTTTTGGTTTCATATTGTGATAACGATATTTCATTATCTACATTGTCTACATTTGTCTACATTGTTTTTCCCATTTCCCATTTCCGATTGGTAACGACAACGTGGAAACCGCCTGCATACTTTCTGTCCTACTATAGCGACTGCGATATTCGAGTAGCCGCGCAATAATTTCAAATATTACTCGAAAATGTTCGATGACGCTAGACTTTTAAATTTGATTCGTCTCGTAAAAATTAATGTTTGACTCGGCTCAACTCGATTTAAATAAAACCTATCTTCGTTCAACTTTAATATGAATATTAATTATAATATATTATACGAAGGTACTGATAGATTAGATATTATGTATAAATAGCTTATTTATTCTATTTTAGATTCTGAGCGTAGCGAAGAATGTATTTTATAGTCGTTTCACTGAATAAAAATTAACGGTAGTATATAGGTAGTGAACATTATATTATTTTTGAAACGGATAAAAAAAATAAAACTTTAAAGCTCTTTCCATAATAAATGTTATTTCATTTTATTAATACAGTCAAAGAACGGGTAGCATGAAAAAAAAAAAAAATGGTTTTGGTTAGTGCATCCATTAGATGGATAAATTATTAGTGACATCCTAAGGGAAAAGTCGTGTTTGCGTTCACAAATGTTAGAAAATTGGAGCCGAAGCTTAGAATTTAAAGAGAAACGCACACGTAAAATCTATTACACCGTTAAACAAATTTAGTCGGGACGAAATGACAGAAATCACCAGGGACAGAAAAATAAATAAAAAAATTAAGGAAATTTCGATGGTCTGTCCCTTCGTAATATTTACCGTCGGTTTCACAATGTCAAAACGTTTTTGCAAAAACGTCATTCATAATAATAATATACTTCTGGAAATATCATTATTCTCAAAATTATGTTAAAGACGCTTAACCGAAAGAGAAAGGACGGTATTTAAATTGCATCGTTTGAAAGGAAACTGTATACAGTAATAATGTAATATAATTTACCATCGCGATTTTATTTGTTTTAAGCAATTATTGTATAGACTCCTTAAAAACCCGACAATAAACAGCGTTGCAGAAATAAGTCTGCGCGTTTTTCTTTTTTTTTCTTTTTTTTTACTTAATTAAAAATTAAAGTTAGACGACAACGATTATTATTGCACAATAGAAGGCTACATTTCGGGAATTGCGACGGTAAAAATTCAACGTTTCCCCGACACGGCGCTAGCTAAACAATAATTCATTTATGTATGGCGAGTTCGGTTCTGCAGTGCATCACACGAACGCATTTCAAACGCGTATTACGTGTGCCGGTGTGTGAACGGAATTATTGTCACCGTTGCAAGCGCACAACTGTTGCCTAAACTCCTACTCTCTTTATTTTTTTTTTTTTTTTTTTTTTTTATTTCGACCTACATTCGATATGATAATAAACCTTTTTTCGGTTTATTTTTTTTTTTTTGCAATAAACGTATATTGTTACACCACTCTGTTAAATATTAAAGCTGTTATTTGTGTTTATAATGCAAACATTTGTCGAGCCACAAACCGCATTGCGTATATTATTATACTATTTAGAAGTATCCCATTTGTCTGCAATATACGTGTACGCACGCCGGGCGTACACACGCGCGCCGCGGAAACTTCGCTAAGTAATTTCGCTTCAGAAGTAAGAAATGCGTTTTAATATAACGCGGCGCACGTGTATTTCGTTGTAGGCATATTTTATACGAGCTCAAACGCGGTTCATTATGAAACCGCTGCGCCGTCGTATACAATATAATATGTTTTGTTATTATTAATTATTTCATATATATATATATATATATAACACATGTTACAAAATGCGTTCCTGAACGCATTTTGTCCATCTAGACGTCTTCTATTTATTATTAACGCGAGTAAATTGTATCTTCTGGAATTGTTAAATAATACACGGTATTACGTGCGTGTAGCCGGTACAGTCGACCCGGTCCGGCGGCCATAAAGCGATCCGAGGCCTTATCGACACCCCTCCAAACGGACAGGGTGTAATATCATATGTTAACGTAGCGATTCGAGTACGTCGTAAATAATACAGTACGTCTAAATAATGCATTGGAAAACCGGTCCCTCTAAATCGTCGTTTTTACGGAAATTTCTTCTTTCCCCTCCCCCCTCACCCCTCCCCGTACGCGGCGATACCGGGTCAATAGGATTTTTCGCGTTTCTGACCACCCCGTCATATTATACCGGAATGTATATTCAATGTTCGGTAAACGGTCAGTGGGGGGCGTGTACCGGTCGACCTAAAAGTCCGTTTTTTTTTTTTTTATACCGATTCCCCTCCCCCATTACTACCCAGAGTAAAATTTACCAGTTGCCCTCTAGACGTTTGATAATATAGATGACTACGATTATGGTGGTGGTATAATACCAGGGAAGGTGAACAAAAATTGACCGCACCACGTAGTGGATATTGTAGTTTGTTGAAAAAAAAAGAACGGACATACTTAGCACTTGGGTGCAGCGACTTTTGTATGCGGGAAGTTGGGAAGGTAGGATACAGACGGGAATTTAATGTATATCTGTAAGCAACGAAAAAACGATCCTGAGCGGAATTCAATTAACAGTATTACTTTGTCAACAATATATATGTCATACTATGGTAAAATGATTACAACAATGTGCATTTCCATGACAAAAATTATGGTTTGAAAACTATTAAAATAATAAAAACTCAATAATAACAATAAATAAATAAAAACGGTTGCCATTGCGCGAACTTTTTTTTAATCTTTTTTTACATTAAGAACCAAGTTTTCTTCATTATCTCGAATATTAATGAAAATTTCAAAAAATTGACCTATCTTTAAAGTATCACCCAGAGAACATTTTCTTTCAGAAAAAGCGCTATACTTGATAATCGGAGTACGCTTTCTGGTTTCTGGAAAAAGTGTTCACATAAAAAAAATAAAAAAATAAAAAATTTAAAACCAATACATTCCTCATTCTATTTAAAATCTAAAAGAAATTAATATTTAATTGAGACCAAACTTCCAATAAAACAAACGTCAATTTCACTAGAGCTCTAGCTCTTCCCAAGGGTAGTAACGATAAACTAAAAATTAAGTGAATCTATTTTCACAGAAATGGTGGGAAAGTCAAATTTATACCAATATACTATCGAAAATTATAAGTATTTTTATATAATACAATAGTTTCGACTAATGAAAATTTCGTTTTTTCTCTGTTAGCTACCCGCGACGTGGTTTTGCCAAATAATCGGAATTTTATTTAATTCGCGCTCGAGTCAGTCAGTGAAGTTAGCCGCGCTTTAAACAATGCACAGTTTAAAATTCCTCTTCTTGTATTAAGTTTCACTATTTACGTAACTGTATTTAGTTGATGGCGACTGGTATAATTTTTAACTGCCATAAATAGCCATTAAGGGAAATAGGCCAATACCCATAGAAGTATTACGTCCCTCACGAAATCCACATCATTCGAAACGACGAAATTAAAATATGTTCTCGATTCGTGGGCGTAGGCTAAATCGAATGTTTCACAGAATATCATTTAAATATAATGGTGCGTTTTGACATGGCGCACTTCTACGATTTTAGTATAATTAAACATATTTTGTCTAAAATTGTATGTACTTTATTGCTCCCCACGCGCGTTTTACGTTTAAAAAGTGCGTCGACCGTATAATATAATAACGCGAATAAAAATATACGACAGTTATTACCGACATGTTCACGGGCCGACAGGGATGAACAAAACAGAAATTACTATTTTAACATAACTGTATCGTAAATACTGCGAACCACCCTAAAGATTTTAAACTAACGAAAAACGAGTTAGAATACATTTTTTATTACGCAGTTTTTATTCCTGCATAATTGCACTGCGGAATTAAAGAGGAAAATGAATTTATAATAATGATAAAAAAAAAAATAATAATAATAATAAGTAAATAAATCGATGAATATTATTTTTTAATTAATTTTGTAAACGATCAAATATTTTTTTTATTTTTTTTCCCCCTGATGTAAAGTTGCAGTCGAGTTCGTTAAATATATTTCTCGTTTATATTCGCATCGGTATATTGATTAACCTTTCTTTTTTTCTCTTTTTTTTTTTTAAATTTTATAAAATTATTAAATATATCTTAATCCACGTAATCTCCAACTCGATCGTCTATAGTAAGACTGAGAAAGGTTAAATTCAATGTTATTTTTCGTTTTCGAGAGTAATAAAATCGTATAATATGCATATCCAAAAGTGTTACCGCTGGGTAGCTTCTTTAAGTCAAGTCACTCATGTCATCTTTAAAAATATCAAACATGCTCATTGTAAAAATAATTTCACAGATTGTATGATTTCTAATAAATATAAAAAAAAAAATATGCGTGTATTATGAACAATAATCTATTTCACTATATTAAATGCCGGGAGTGGGGGGGGGGGGGGGGGGGAATGTCCGGGCGATATTCGCGACACGTTTGAAAACTGAGCGTATGCGCAAATATAGGTATACCTACGCAGTCGGGTTTTATTCCGTGACTTGAACAATTATTATTATCGTTACGTTTTATTTACGTGTAAATTATTATTGATTGATGAAACGTCCGTTTCAAATAGTTCCCGAGGATTACATACCTACGCCCGAAATGATAAAAAAAAAACAATTATAATAAAAAAAAAAAAAAAGTAAGCAAACCACTATACGACTTCCGCCGAGACGTTTCATTAATTATTATTATTTTAATTTTTTTTTTCGGAGCCTTTTAAAACGTCTATACCTGTTCAACGAGCTTTGGGTGTGACCGTCTGCGGATCGCCCATCTATCTGCCCGTCCGAACTCGGAACGGGCAAAAAGTCGTTGTCGGTGAAAAATCGATACGGACGAAATAATAACAGGGACAACGCGATATTTGTTTACGCGGCGAATTTCTCAAAAAACGGCAACGGGGTACAGGTCGTTAAGGGTACGTCCGTTCGCGAAACTCCTCGAGTCATCGAACGGCCCACGAATAATTTTAAAATACCTATAATCTGTACGAGTATTATTTAAATAGGAAAAACATTTTCAATTCGACGATAAAACGTTTGTATCGCACTGATTTGTATAAAATATGCAGCTATTATACACAAACCGCAGCTTAATACGAATACAATTTTGCGCGAACCACTTGCAGCGCATGGATACTGATGATGCAAACAGACGAAAAATATTCGATTCCGACTAAAAATAATAAGATATTTACCGAACCGGACGTTTCTCGCACATATTTTGTTGTCTCCGCCTTATTGAAACGCACGACACAGCAAATTCGATTTTTCCGATGTTTGTATTTTTAAACGAACGCGCAAAATATCACGGTTTAAAAATGTTTACATTTCGCTAAAAAAATAAAACATCGGAAAAAACAACGTACACAAACTATAGTTGATAACGTACTCAGTGGCGGATTTTCAATATTTTTTCCGGGATGGGTCTTGAAAAATCGATTTGTATTTTAAACGGATCTGTTAATAGACGTTTCTTTTTCAGACGACATTTGTACATTGTAATTATATCGGTGTCTATGAGGGGGGGAGGAGTTTCAGAATCCCCTTCGTAAACCCGCCACTGAATATTCTTGACTTTAAGTTTGATAATAAGCCGATTCGCTGTAATATTAAATAACTAAAAGCACGAAATCAGTACTGCCGGATACAAATTCGCCATCTCGTGCGTTTGTATTGCAGGGACAACGAACGCGTATGAGTGTAGCGTCCTCTTATAATAACGATAAGGATATAATAACACCGGACGTAAACCGGACTGTAACGTATAGTTTTACTCTTCCGGGTTATCTGGCTACAAGGACGAGAAAATATTAATTTTATTAATGTTTATGTATTAAACACTAATAAAAAATAACATTAATAATTTGTTTACGATTATTGTTTATACCTACTGTTATTGTTCTATTATAGAGCGCGGATTTTCGTGTAAAAGCGTATAATTTTTTTTTATTGGACGTACGCGTAGTCGCGCGGGTATAAGAAATGTCGACGAGTCACAATTCAAAAAAATAATTATTTAGCATTTCAATACATAAACACTGTCGTTGTCAAGAGAACGATATAATAGGCGAAACGTCTGTGATGTACAACATTAACTATTCAAGTTACTTTTGTTATTTATATAAGACACTAGTGTGTTGATAACGCACTGTTGAAACCACGGTTATTGTATAAAACGGTCAGACAGCTAACCCTATGAGTAAATCGGAAGGCTGGTGTAGCCTGGCCATACCGAACGGGCAAATTTCGTTTTATTTCGTACAATCCGATAATTTTAAACATCCCGATCCGTTCAAAAATATTAAAAACCGTTTCCAACGAGTCTACCTCGGTTTCTATATAGCATCACAAATCACGATTGTAATTAATTAAATAAAATCATTTTACTGTTATTTGTTTATGGACGTAAAACGGAAAAAACCGTCGGTTTGAAAAAAAAAAAAAAAAAAAAATGTTTTTACAATTTTAGACGTTTGAACGTAACCCATTATTAATGAAGGTTCGGTTCGTGGTGTTTTTCCGATCGAATGAAAAAAGCGCGGGAAAAAGAGAAAAAAAAATTGAACCGAAACCGTGACTCATAGGCGACCGTGCATAATCAACGCACAGGGCCATCATAGCCAGTGTCCGATTTTATTTTCCGTAAGACCGCGCTATTTGTTCGGAATTTTACTTCCCCTCCTCCGGTAATCGCGCCACTGATTGATGGCAGTATATACACACATATACATACATACGTACGTGCACCGCACACCTTATTATAGTATTACCGCCATACTCGTATTACAATAATATACGTATATAATCGAGGTATTTTAACATGTTATTATATTTTAAATCCATCCGCGCTCCGTTTTACGTAGGTAGGTACTTATTATTATTATTATTATTCCTGAATAATCCGATATCGCGACGGGGCACGCGTGTATCGCATCAGTCACGTCGTCGTGTTATCGAAATATTGTGCTGTCGTTGCATATAATACCCATAGAAAATACATTTTTATACACCGACGATTCGCCGGTATATTTCGGAAAATTATTATTCTAATGACGTGACGCACAATGATCGCGTTACAAGTCACGATATTTACCGTATATATATTTTGTATGTACTTACGATATATTACACCTACGCATTTCACGTCATTTATCGCCGTATCCCATAGATGTATGGATATAAATATGATTTCTATATAAAAAAAAAAAAAAAAAAACATGGCGTGTTTTAATGAAATTATCCACTAAACTATGCAAGCACTACGGGCGGACAGGCCAAACCTGATGCGTTAGGGTTACGTTTACTTCGGCAAAAACCTCGGTGTCGACGCGTTCTCGGACGTGTAGCCCGCGGGATTCTGGTCGACCATCCGGGTATCCGGAGTAGTCATGCTGAAGGTTGGTGGACTTTTTACCCAGCGAGGCGTGTGTGAAATAATGTATAGACGAGTCGCGTTTCGTATACGCAGAAAAACAGGCGACTATAACGGGGAGTAACAGAGTTTCGAACTTTTTAAACATAATATTATGTGTACATATCCGGAGAAATGTGATGATTGATATTTACATTTAAAGGGGGGGGGGGTCTGAAATGGGAAATTTGATGCTACAACAAAAACGCGCGGAGTCGGGTAAACGATACCCAATTTTTACCGCGGGGATGTTCCGTGGTTCATTGGCTTTTCTTCGGCGCCCGGGTGTTTCCTCCCCGTTCACCGCCGGTCCGGAAACGTAGTTGGGCAGGTCTGTCAAAATATCTCCGGTAAAAATGTCACCAGTAAAAATAATGTCTCCGAGTACGTTTAGCACGATAAGTAAACCTGATAATATAGTTTTTTTTTTTTTTGACTGGTAATTGAAGACATTTTTTTACTTTTACCGCGGACGATCGGTCGGTTTGCCGAGAAAATCGAGTATTTATTTTGTTATCGATTTTATCGATTTCTGTACTTCGGCGCGTGTGAGGCGGAGGCTTTTATCTCGGCACGTTACACCTTTCCCTGAACTTTTGGACTTTATCCGGTAAAACCCTTCCTACCCGCCAGTGAGTGTAACGCAATACGAACAAAATATTTCGTTACAAAATGTATACTGATTCGATCCATATTTCCAGTGCGGACGAAATATCTCGCCGTAACAACGGAATTCACGTCGCGAAAAAAAAAAAAAAAATCCTCGTTGAAAAACGTCCCGATGCGAAACCCCGTATACATAATAATAAACGAACACTCGCGTAACGTGAATATTTTTAATTACACTGAGTGCGGTTAAAAAGTACGACTGAAAAAAAAAAAAAAAAAAACACACACAAAAATTTAAATATTCTCCTCGATAATAATAATAATTCATTCGTGGTGGCGGGGCAGTGGCGCACTCGACGACCGATGGGGGGGGGGCGTTGCGTTCAATTATCGTTATTCGACGACGACGGCGACGACGGCTATACCTGACGCGCCCGACGTCACTAACCGTTGTGCACGCGCGACGTATTTTACGAGATATCGTTTCGATTTGCCGAGTACGCGCGGGAGAACGAAAATTACCGTATTGTCACCGTTGTTTATCGTTGTTTGTCCGCGTCACGCGCGCTGCCCGGCGGTCCGCTCTCCGGCGCGCGCGTTTAACGCACGTCGTTCACGTCGTCGCAACAACGTCGGGCGTATCGCCGGGTACCGCGGTGTCAACGCGCGTACGGACGTATACGTACACAGACATACAGATATGTGTGTGTGTGTGTGTGTGTGTGTGTGTGAAAATTAATATTTATTTTACGCCGCGTACAACGATAGCCATTTCCGATCTGACGAACGGGCCGAACGTCGGGATTCGGATAGCCGGGCGAACACGGCGCCGTGACGGTGCGCAGCGCGCGGACAGCGGCCGCGGCGACGCGTCACAACGGACCCGTAACGAACACGCGGCGGCGGCGGCGATAAGCGTTCGTCTGTCGGTATCGCGGCGTGTCCGGCGTGGCGGGCAAATCGTGTTTGGCGCGGTACGCGGCGTAGGCGTGTCGACGTCACCGGCCGAATGACGTTTAAACGCGCGAACAGTGTACATTTGGCGCCGGATACGAAAAAAAAAAAGGCCTCGCGCGCGTTTCCGGGAAAAGAGGCCGATTTTCGTTTTTCCCCCCTCCCCCCGGTCGGATTTCCCCGCGAAAATCCGGAGACCGTTGCTCCGCCACTCTTGCGCCGTTACTTTTCGAGCGCGGTTCCGTCCGGACCGACCATTCGTGAATAACAGAACCGCGGATATGAAACGGTGTCGAGTAATCGCTGTGCGTATCACTTTTAGGGACGTGGTTTCAAATTTTAACACCTTCTCCAACCGTTTTTGTGTAAAAATTTCATGTTTTCGCAGGAAATGTCCCCACAGACTAACATATAATAAAACTGGCGACCATAACTATTTTGGATCGGTTATAAAAAAAAAAAAAAAAAAAAAAATAGTGTTAATAAATTGTTGCGCCGACAAAGGCTGGGAGGCTGTAGGCTGGGAGAAAATTTGAATCCAGCGACGGAATTAGTCTGCTCATTTTTCAATACGGAAATCATATTATAATGTCTTGGGTTGGAATTAAAAACGTGATAGTAATGATAATATAAAGGGCGTGTATTAAGTTTGAATCAAACCGTACGTAGCCAAAAACGACTACTGATCGAAGATTGGTTTAGACAACGATCGAGGAGATTGGAAACGGTTTTCCTAATTTTCTTCAATTTTGTAAAACCTAAGTGACAAGACTTTTTCACTAACCGCGTGCTCAATACTTATTTAAGAAGTACGGCTATTTTTATGATGTTTAAGACCAATAAGCTGGAGTAAAATATTTACCAACTACAGTTCGTCCAATTTTATTTTCGAAAACATATTGCTTTGAGTTCTATGATTTATTGGTTTATGTTTTGTAGGAAACATTTGCTCGTTATTTTATTTCGTAAAAGTAAACATGAAGTTTACCTTTTTTTCTTAAAAAAAAAATGTCATACTTATAAAGTTTTACAGGAAAAAAAATGAAAATGAGAAAACATTTTGTCTACAAAACATAGAAAAGGAGAACGCGGTGTCAAATCGTTTATTTTCAAAAACAGAAATTGGACCACTGGAAATATGTTTATTCTATTCCGGCTATTGGTCTGTAAACGTAACACGAAAAAAAGAATAATTTTCGGCCGCCTTTCCCATGATTTTTCGCCCCGAACACTTGACAAAAACGGCGATTCAAGAGTCCATTATCCTCGGCGCCAAAAATATATTAATCGGAAAATATTCTCCCTTACTTTTTATAAAATACTTTTTTTTTTTGCCACCGGTGTTCCTGTGACTCGATTTTGTACGATGTGCCGTTTGTTTCGACGTTGGCATCGTTGGCATAGGTACGCTGTTATTAAATGGTTTACGGTTCATAAATTATCAACACGATGAACATTTGAATACCAAACGCGGTAGTACAATCGACGAAACGATGAAACACAAGACGATAAAACAAAACACTTTGACGATCGTTACGTACTCGATCATTTTGGTATTACTGCAGAAGTTATTACACCAATCCGAAGCCGAACAGCAATATGTTTAATTACTAGAATATACCTTCCTACTCTTCCTGCCAAACATTACAGCTGTGTTCACACAAATATGGTTTTCGCGACGTGTTTATAATATATAGGTATAATAACATGTACTAGGTATTTTTTTTATAACCGTTTTCCCCGTTATTGTTCGCTACGATACATCGAAATTTTGTTATTATTCAGTCCAAAACAACTGCAGTCCGATCATGGAGGGGGGGGGCCGGCTAACTCCTCTCTAAAAACGATATTATCTATGTTACGTTCACGTGACCCCTTTGATATGAATAGGTATTAACCTTTTAATGTTCATCGTTGTTGTTAAGTAAATTTTGAAATTTGCTAAATTGCGTGGTGGCATAACCGCTAAGTGGCTAGAAGTTCCTAAAACGGCTTAACCTAAATGGCTAAAGTCGTATAATTACATGATTCATGCGTTGTTCAAAACAAAAAGTACCTACATCATAATAGTGGCTTGTTAAGGTATTTTTATTTTAGCATACAATTTGTCAGCGGAACATGCTTACATCACGTCTTATGCTATTCGGAAACAAATAAAGGGGAAAATAATAATTACAAAGGATAAAATTATATAAAACGAAAATTCTCGAGCCTTTCTTCATTAAAATATGGTTTGCGCGATGTATGTGCATCACCCCCGACAATGGAAAAAATCAACAGTATGAAAACGTTTTTTTCAATAAAAATACAAATAATATTATACCGACCTATTCTTATTTTAATCGTTGTGACTCGTTCATAGTAGTCGAATAAAATTCGAACGGTCGAAATAATTGTATCCGTTGGAGTGGCTGCATTACGCGCATTTTTATTGGATAAGGAAAATATAATCTGTTTCTTTATTGCGAGTTTTCTTTTGTACGACGACGTCGTCGGTCACAATGAATTAACGAAATTTCACGGGTCCAATAATACGATTTGATAATAATTTGTAACGGCTAATTTATGCGCGGGGTATATTATGCTGCCGCACAATACAAAAATAGTCTGAAAACTTTTCTTTTTTCTTTTTTTATTGTTTAAAACGGAAAAATGTTGATAATTCAAAGAGATAAAATTAATTAAACTTTAGAAAATCGCCGAGATTTTTGGCAGTAAAAACTGTCCTCTTTTGTACAAAATTATTAAAAAAAATTAAAATCTCAACGTCGAAATAATATATACGTAAATATTTTTTAAATTTATTAATAACTATCGCAAAACAACATTTCCCTTGCGTTCACATTTTATTTTTTGAAGATGGTAGGGGGAGGGGGGGTGATAGAAAAACATTTTTCGCATCAATAATTTATTTGCGTATAATATAAAAATATGACGGTGAAACTGATAAACTTACGTAAAAGAAGTACATTACAATTTATAATTAGTAATAACAGTGTACAAGATAAAACAGAAAAAAAACCAACTAGATAAGTAATGGAAACTCGGAAATGACGTTAATATTCGTATCAGTTGAACAGAAAGGAACAGCAATGTAGTAATTCTCCAACATATTAAAGGTACGGAGAAATATACGAGTAGGTATCTACCATTAGATCATGTAGATTCTTTTCTGAAAGGAAATTTCCTTGGGGTGGTACTTTAGGGAGGTCGTTTTTTCGATTTCCCCAAGAGTTTTCTCAGCAAATTTAAAAAACCGGGAAAAAGTTGTAAGAACGGGTAAATCGGTACAATATTAAGCAAATATTATTAAAGAAAATATAGCTATAATGCCTGTTTAATTATTTTACTATAATATGACATGTACGTTGTTAAAAAAGCATCACTATTATAAATTGAATTTCACTCAGAATCGTTTTTAATAAGCGATGGTTTGTCGTTACTTGCAGATACAAATTAATATTCCCTCTACATCCTACTTTCCTACCCAACTTCTCACCGACAACAGTGGCTGCACCCGTCGTGCGAAGGATGTCCGTCTTTTTTATTTTTAATTGTATTGTATACGTAATGATTATTTCTGTTTCACATCAAAATCGAACGAGTTAAATAATAAAGTCGGTCCAAAATGGCCGATCCATTTTCGACCAAAAGTTGTTTTTACTTATATATATATATATATATATATACGGCTATATTTAATTCACTTTAACATCCAAAGCCCCGTGTTGTCTTTTATGTTTTGTATACTTCTTTGGTGTGCCGTTGAATAGTCAACCGATTCGATTGGAATATTATAAATTTCAGTGATAAAACGCGATGTTTTAACGGTATTTACTACCTGCTCTATTGCTACGCGCTCAAATTACGTTTGCATAAAAATTATTTTACCGTTGAAAAATAGTTTTTTTTTTTTCACGAATATTTTCCTAATTAATTACCTTTTTGTCCTCGTCCTTCCCGCGGTTGTTATATTAAAATGATCTTTTTTTTTTTATTTTTACAAAATACTCGACGTATTTTTTTGTTCCCCGCGCGGCAAATTTATATCACACGCCATTAATAAATATCGCGCCAGAGAATATCAAGAACCACCGCACACCATTCGTCAAAAAACACGCGGTCACGTAAATTACACGTCGGATCATTTATCTTGAGTCTATCATCTCACGAGCGTAAATTTTTGATTATAATATAGTTTGTTGACTGTCGACATTTTAGCGTTATTGAAGTTTTATAATAATCCATTACGCACGATTACGCGAATTTTCGAATTATTTTCTATACGCACGCGTATATTACAGTAATACGTATAAGATGTTTTATTGTCGGCGTTGTCGTAGGATTTGCGATAATTGAAAGATTCTGTCTATTGGTTCACCGAACAATCAGTTTGAATAGATACTGTAAAGACCATTTTTTAATAGATTGCCGTATAGACAAAAATGACCTTTTTCTAAAGCTGGCTACAAAGTTTCTATCTTGATTTTGTCATCGAGATACTCAAAACGATAGTTCTAAACGATGTCTTTTAGTGGAAAAAAAAAACAATTGTTGTTTATACAAAGCGATCAATCCTCGATAAAACACTCGTACACTAAGAGCATCATTTCTGTTTTGACGTTTGGATAGTGTTCCACTATTCCCCCGTATCCACAACTGAAAAGTGATATATCTCACCAACGGGTTAACGGAAATTAAAAATTTCAAAACCAACATACAAGTGTTATATGCCTCTAAACCAAAACTTTATCTAGTTACGGGATTTTAAGTACAAATTGCTACTTGAATAATGAAGCACTTTTACTTAAAAATTAACGGTAATGTAACATTTTAGAGCTGCTTATTTCATAAGTTTCAAAAAAAAAAAAAAAAGTTAACACTTTTCGAGAGAATAATGATAGTCTTTTTAAAGATTGATTAACTTGTATAAACAAAATAAAACCTTTTTAAAGTGAATTGTCATCTAAAAGAAAAAAAAGGTTCTATCTAATGTTATTAATTTATTTTTGAAATAAAAAGGTTTTCCATTAAAAAAAAAAAAAAAAAAAAAACGGTATGTATGTACAGTTGTACAATACAATTACTAAAAATATAGGTTCTCCCGGGAGATTCTTTTCACAGTACGACATTATTTGTTTTATTAATCAGTACAAAACTATTCGTTGAATATGTGGTCATCAAAGTCTATTTAAATAAAAAACCATTATTACTTTGTTTGGCACTCGATCGGATTTAAAATATTTTAAATAATAACAATGACATTAGCGATCGGTGTTAAAATATTTATTTGTCTAAATTTTAAGACGTTTTATTTCGAGTAGTTTCAAAACAGCGTGCCAGAACCTTTTCATTAACGGCCGATGACGGCATATAAATGTTAAAACCTAGTGTTGTTGGGCATTTTTATGAAATACGCGATTTTGGTCAACGGTATTTTGTAATTGTGAATCCATCTGGACCCCTTTCTCAGGCTGCCCTCTATGCCGTCCTTCCAAACGCCGGCTGGCAGGTAAACTTCGCGTTCCGTGGTTCCGGGCCGCAGTATCGGCGCGACGATCACTTCTTCGCCCACGGAAAATTCGTCTTTTACGATGTAGCACGTCGGGTCCGACGGGTCTAACATCCACAACGGCCGTATCAACGGAACGGCAGTCTCCAACGCTTCTTGAACGTATCTTTTCAGCAGCGGATTTATCTACAGTAAACACGAACAGTACTAATAACGCGTGAAAGTTAATATAATGCAAACAAATAATAATTTCTAGTAAATTCGAAAATTATTTTTAACTTTTTTTTTTTATACATATTGTTTGGGAGGTGACAAATTAATTATCTACTTGCTAAAAAAAAAAAAAAATGGCTTAAAATTTCTATGCGCCTCCTGAAATTATATATGACGTCTAATTTACACCACCGAATCTATAGTCATAAATACAAAAGGCCTGGTCGACACTGTCTTCCGATTTATCCTAGTCGATCCGTTCGAAATAAACATTATTTTTACTTCAAAATACATCCGAATAGCTAAAAAAATATGATATTTGACTTGTCTGAGATCGAAGACGAATTATTTATATGAAAACGTACTAAATACTACAATAGCTTTTATGTGTTTTTTTTTGTAAAATGTTATGGTTTTAAATTCTGACTGGAGGGAATGATGTATTGGTTTTACATAGATGTTTATTTTATTTGTTTTTTTTTCTGTGGATAACTTTTCTACTAACAATTTTGCTTCGATTTATAATAATAGCATTTTTTTCTGGAAGGAAATCGGACTGGGGAGATACTTTAGGGAGGTTATTCTTTTTTCCTAGGAGTTTTTCTAATAAATTGGAAAAACATTAGAAAACGGGAAAATCTGTACAGTATTAAAGAAAATATATGCATATGCAATTATTTTACCATAATATGAAAAATATATTGTTGAAAAAGTAACACTATCAACCGAACTCCGCTCAGAATCATTTTTTCGTTAGCGATGGTTTAACATTACTTACAGATATAAATTAAATTTCCCCTCTACTACTTTCTCAACTTCTCACTTATAACCGTGGTTGCACCCGTCCCCATTATTCTA